GTTCTATAGACCAGCTTAGTTCACCACTTGACTTTTAAAACATTTCAAGAAGCAAAGCAACCTACTTCTGAATACTGACGTTTCTTGGTAACTGTTTCTTTTCCACGGTTCATTGCAAACAACACTAGAATTAGTATATTTGGAATTCCTAATCCCAGTGTTCTCATTACTGAGTTGTATGATTTTTAGAAATCATGTGGTTTCCTCGGCTATAAGCCTTCACTGTCTCAAAGCACTACTGTAAGATTCAATATAAGTAAATGTGACAAGGATCTCTGAAAAGTTTTAAAATCTTCCAACAGTAGAAGTCATTTTTATTATCATGACTGTATAAAGTAGGCAGAATTGCCTGCATTAAATTAAGAGGTAAAATTATACATTGAAAAGGAGAACAAAAAGATCTCTGGGCAGGCTTGGAGCACTGATTTGATGCTAGATTAGTCAGCTATTGTTTAATCAGCGGAATTATTGTTCCCGGAGATCTGTTTCCCTCCTGGGGCTCAAACCAGAGGCTGAGCCAACACCTAACCTGCAGCCAAGCTCCACTCAGCTTTAACTCCAAGGAGGTGGGCTTTAGTCTGCAGGCTACCTGAATGTGGGCAACAAGGACTTATGTTGGAATAAGAAGTATATTCCAATTATTAACAACATAATTTCCATTATCCATGAGTTGAAAATATGGTGAGTTGTACCTTTTTTTAATCCCTAAAGTCTTTTGTTTCCATGTGCTTCAGAATACAAAACCCACATCTTCCCACATGTATCACATCACAGCAAGCCATGTGAGGCAGAGGAAACCCGAGCAAACTGCAGGTAATCAGTAAAGCAGGTGATTCACATGCAGACGTTTAAGAATTTACTGTGACAATCATTTCTGAAGGTTTGGGCTCAACATCAGTTTATTTCTGCACTCTTTAGCATAGCCATTTGTTTTTAGCAATCTATGAAACACTACTATATGTCCACAAGGATGTATGTGCAAGGGTGTCTGTGAAGTCATTTGAATAGCAAAGAATTAGAAACTATAAATCTATCTACAGAAAATGATTGCATAAATTATGGTACATGTACACCATGGGATACTATGCAGTTGATAAAGAATGAGGGAGGCCAATCTATATATACTTCTGACAGAGCTCTCTAGAAGATGGCACTTACAGAAAAAACACTGGGACTCCCCTGGTGGTCCAGTGAGTAAGACTCTGAGCTCCCAATGCAGGGGGCCCAGGTTTGATACCTGGTCAGGGAACTAGATCCCGTACATTGCAACTAAGAAGTTCACATGCCACAGCTAAGATCCACTGTAGCCAAAATAAATAAATATTAAAAAAATTTAAAAACACCATGGACTCCTGTGATAAAGATGTGTCAGTGTAGGTACATCAACCGTAACAAAGGTGCCATTACCACAAAGCTAATGATGGGGGAAGCTAAGTTAAGCGTGTGTAGGGGGAGGGGGTATGAAGGAAATCTGTACTCCTGCTCAATTTTGCTGTGAATTTTAAAACGCTCTTTTAAAAAATGAAATGTATTTTAAAAAAAGAAGAAAGAAAAAGAATAAGGCACATTACAAAGCATTATGTAAAGCACAATCCCACTTAGGTAAAATATAAAGCAGATGGGTACATGTGTATGTATATAAGCAGATGCACAAAAAGGGAACTGAAAGGATAAAAGAAGACACACAAAAATAGAATTCTGCCTCTGAGAAATGGGGAAGGGACAGGGAAGTAGATATGGTCAAAAAAGACTTTAATCTTTTATTTTCTGCACGTCTACAATGTTTGAATGGTGTCCAGAGTCAATGCAGCCCTATATCCCACGTATAGGCAAAAATGCACAAAATAATACTATAACAAACAAAAGACAAGGTCAAAGATGAGCCAAGTGCCCGTCAGCTTTAAGTTAAACGCTGGGTCTGAGAGCTAACTCAAATAATGTTTAAATCCACAATTTTCCACTAATTTCACTAAAACCATAATAGAGTCCTACCGGGATGTCACTGAGAAAGTAAACTAAACAGGATTGCTTTCATTTATACTGGTAAACTAAAGACAAAAATGCTAAAACCTTAGCATAACTTTAAATTATATATATCTCATTTATTGAAATATAAAGATCTTCATTTACATGCTTTAAAACAAAAACAATGAGCAGGGGCATTTGTAAAACAATTGTATTGGTAGACCCTTCCTACCGAGTTAGTTCTTGAACATTCACCACACCACTGTTTTGGGAACGTTTAGGTATTTTTCTCTTTATTATTTCTAAAATATAAATTTTGGACATTCAAAAGTGCAACAGTTAATGTGCCTGTGGGGAATATCACAGTTAAAAAAATATAAACAAAGGCAGTGATACAGCTTGTCATAAATGTTTTGGCAGTATTCTCCAAGTCTATATAGAAATACATATATACATATTGATGTATAACATCACTTTATCTCACGTCCCTCTTCACAAAAATAGGACCATTTTGTACAGATTGGCAGACCACATTTTAAGGACATCATCAATCATTTTTTTAAAAAACCACAAATTGTGTTTCTCAGGCCAACTTTGATTGTCTTCATAAAAATAGAAAGCAGGAAGGATTGACAAATTTTCATCTGGGGTCTTTGCAGGAAGCCAAAAAGGAAACAAATCTGTGATACACTGAAAACATTTCTTAAGGAAAAAAAAAATGCTGCCATACAGAAACTAAGGTGAGAGCATTCATTAGGACTAGAACCTGCTGGTCTGAGAATTTTCATCCAGCCCCATGATATCATGCAAGATTCAAAGGACATCAAAATGTAAAGCACCAATAAGAGGAGGCTGCATGAGGAAGAGGGAGTGATCAGCAGAGTGCTTGAGCTGTGATTCTAGAAACACAAAATGTATTTCAAGTCTAAGTGGCTCTACAGAACCTCATCAGGTTTTCTTTTTTAATCGGCCAATCTGGCTCAGTCTTCACACTTACCATGAAAAAGGTGGGGCTTGCACTGAGATTACACCAGTAGGTGTCAAGTACCTTGTTATTGCTTCTACATCTCCCAAAGCATCGCCTGCCAGGGGCACACAGTGATTGCAGTAAGCACAGCCCATGTTTCATTCATAGGGTGTCAGCAATTAAGCGGTATTGCTAAGAATGCTGATGAACCCACCACGAGTTTGACAGATTGGATGGATGTGACAGTTTGTCCTCCCATCTAACCCCGAAATATCAGTAAAAACTTAAAAAAAGATTTTCACCAAAATATTGACTTGATCACACAGAGACTTGGTACACTGAACTGCATCATTTTCGTACATGCCTTTTGAGGGGAAGTTGGTGGGGAGAGAGCTCAGATCCCCCTAGGCAGGGAGAAGATCTGCCAAACCAAGATCTGGCTTGCTCAGTATCAGCAAGGATTGGAAAGTCAAATTAAGGGTAGCAATTACTAGATACATGGCATTAAACATTACTGACCCAAAGCCAAAGATCTAAATAGTAGGCTTCTTGCATGGCTGGTCACTAGTCCAGTTCCTGATTTCAAATTATTTCTTCCCATGGCAACTTCCTGTCATCTGTGCTGGTGTTCCCCAAATCTGGCTGATCAGAAGGGCCAGGATGTTTATAAAAACACAGGTCTCTGCTCCCCTACAACTGATCATTCAGAATCTCTGGGATGGGGATGTAGAATCTGGTCATTCTGGTTGCCAGTTACACATGGTGACCAACGGTCCGGGTTAAGGCACACAGCACCTTCACTGAACAATGCCTTTGTTGTCTCAGACTTTCAAACTGTTTCTCCTGAGGGTAAGAGACAAAGAAAGGGAGCCCCAGTTCAGGGCATCCTTCTGAATTTCTCAGGGTTCACAAAATTAAAAATATATACATGTGTTGAGATGCACCAGAGTTAACGCAAGGCATGAACAAACCTCTGCAAATCCAGTCTTTTTGCTGATAAATACCTTTTCCACTGGGCAGTAACATGAGAAGTCATGTTAGGCACAGACTCCTGCCTTAATATTGAGGACCTTTAGGATCTAGGGGTTTTGTTTATTTATTTCAAATCTCATTACTTTAAAGGGCAGTTAACTGTTTTTAGTACAATGGATTAGGCAACCTACTCAGTACAGTTAAAACTCTGACTTTCTGGAAGACACTACTTTTACTTTGTTTTCTATGCTCAACTAAATTTCATCCACTAAAGCTATAACCATATTTTATAGAGAAACATGTTATTTGCTAGAATGTCAAAAACTGTCAAGACCTGTCACCTATTTAGTAAGGATTTTTTTTAAATTGTGCTTTTTCTGTAGGGAAAACGTGTTACATATTACACATTTAGAATTACTGATAACAGTAGTAGTATTATAAACGTAGATTACAATATGAGTTGTTGGGCTTATAAATGACCCAAATCTAATAAACAAAGTTGGTTAATTATCCTTTATCTCCTCAACACTATAAAAAAAAAAAGAAGCAAAATGCTATAGTACCAGTACCTTTTAAGGTTCAAAAGTGGTTTTGCATGTACTTCATAAGGAAGCTCAACAGCAGCTGATACCAGGTTTCAGGCAGGAAGTACATGGATGGACTGAGTGGTCTCTCCAGAAATCCAGAGAAGTTAATACAAATCAAAACACATCCTTGGTTAGAGTTATTTACATAATTACAATGCTGGAGTTTTGTTGCAGTAAAAGCTGTGTCCGTTGGAATCTCATCAATGCCCTTGAAACACAAAGTCCATCTTCCATGGCCCATGATTTCCTTGTCCATCTATCTACCTCCAAACTTCACATGCCAATGAGATGCTACTGAAACATTGCCAGAGGCAATGCCGAAAAAGTTCATTTCAAAATATCCCAATCATTCATCTTTAGAAGGCTCCCAGAGGCCATTGGCTGGGAACTTCTCTTTACACACCATCCAAGTCCTCTCTCAAACTTTGCATTGCAATAAAGTGGTTTTCTTAAAAGGATCCAAGGTGGGTCCAGGAGTGGAAGTCCTGCCCTCCCCCCGAATCTGCCAGTTACAGGAAGCTGTCCTCCACCAGATCCGAGGAGTCTATACCAATGTCGTCCATCATGTCGATGTCCTCGATGGTCTCGTCCTCTCTCTTGATGAAGGTAGAACTGCTAGAACCTGTCTCAATGGCACTCTCTTCAGAGGTCTGTGAGCTGGAAGAGGCAGAGAATAGGAAAAATCAGGATCAGACCAACTAGAATACGGTGGTGGTTTCAAGGTGGCCTCCCAAAGGCAAAGGAGCTCTTCCTGTGACATCCTTTGGCTTTCAAATCCAGGCTGCTCAGCCAGGCATGATTCTTCCACCAAGCCAGAAGCAGCCCCCACCACTGCAGTGTGGGCCACATGGTCATCTCCACACTTCAGCATCCCTTCTCTTCTGCCAAATCTTCCAGAGTTGCTACCAAGCTGTGACCATTTCTACTCTCCCTACTCAACTCCAGTGGAAGAGAAAACAAGCTGTGCCTGATCAAAAGGCCTGGGGAAGAAAAAGCAGAGGGATGAAAGCAGGGGCAAAGTTCAGCCAAGTCAGTCACTTACTAGCCCTGCAACCTCCTGAATGTCCAAACTGTGATCTCAGGATCTCACCCCATGACCCAGGAATGCCCTCCTCATATATCCAGTCCCCTTGAGTCCTGAAGTCCAGGTGAAGGCTCTTTACTTACTAGAGGAGCATCTGGGAGGGGAGTTTTAGAATGAGAAAGGATGAGTCAGACACGACTTAGCGACTGAATGCACACACACACACACACACACACACACACACACAACCCCATGGACTGCGGCCCACCAGGCTCCTCTGTCCATGGGATCTCCCAGGCAAGAACACTGGAGCAGACTGCCATTTCCTTCTCCAGGAGATCTTCCCAACTCAAGAACTGAACCGGGGGCTTCCCTGGTGGTCCAGTGGTTGAAAACCTGCCCTGCGAAGCAGGAGACACTGGTCTGATTCCTGGTCCAGGAGGATCCCATATGCCGTGGGGCAGCTGAGCCCATGTGCCCCAACTACCAAAGCCTGAGCACCCTACAGCCTGTGCTCCACTACAAGGAGAGGCCACTGCAGTGAGAACCTATGCACTGCAACTAGAGCCCCCGCTCCCTGCAACTGGAGAAATTCTGTGCGTGTGCAGCAGTGAAGACTCAGCACAGCATAAACAAATAAATAAATATTTTTAAAAAAACTGAGCCCACATTTCTTGTGTCTCCTGCATTGCAGGTGGATTCTTTACCATTGAGCCACTGAGGAAGCCCACGTGTACGTATACATATCATATATATGTATGTGTGATAAAATGTTAACAATAGCTAAATCTAAGTGGGAGATGTAATCTTTCAATTTTTCTGGATGTTTAAAATTTTTCACAAACACTTTTAGAAAATATTCTTTAGGGCCTCCAGACTGTCGGTGTCACCTGGCGCCTTGCGTTCTCTGAACTCTATCTTGTCGGTGTCCTGCCTTGTATTGCTAAATTTTTATGTATCTCTTTTAGCTTCAAGTGGGCTTTCCTGGTGGTCAGGAGGTAACGAATCTGCCTGCAATTCAGGAGGTCTGGGTTCAATCCCTGGGTCAGGAAGATACCCTAGAGAAGGGAATGGCAACTCACTCCAGTATTCTTGCCTGGAAAATCCCATGAACAGAGGAACCTGGCAGGCTGCAGTCCATGGGGTCACAAAAAGTCAAAAACAACGGAGCAACTTAGCTCAGTTCACTTAGCTCTAGCAGATTTTCATCTGCTGACAGGCAGGACTGGGGCTTCCCCGCCTCATGGTGGGGCTATATAACACTGCACTCCACACATGGTACAGAAGCCCTACGGCTGGCTGGGCAGCCACACCACAGGATGGAGTCTCCCACACACACCCAGCAGGGGCTCTCGGCCCTTTCCACTGTTTCCTGCCCGACAGGCCAGGCTGGACCCTCATTCTCTCTCCCCTCTTTCCACATCAGTTTCCAAGCATAGAACTAAGGCTGGCCAACAGGAGCCTCCAGGAAATGGTCTGCTGTTCTCCACCCCCAGGCCCCTGGGCCCAGAGAGTTCTTAGAGCCGATGGCGCTACTGGACTGAGGTTCCCCGCACAAACCCCCACGTGGGCCCTTCCTCAAGACCGAGCTTTTGCTCAGTTCCTAGTCTGTACTTCATCCTTCCCACCCCCACTTCCACCTTGGTTCTAGAACCTCACTGTGAACCCCAGTCCACTTGGCTGGTCTTAATAACTATCCAGTCTGGCAGCCTGTCTCCCCAGGAAGCCAGACCCAGTTCCTGAGACCTCAGCCAGTGGCAAGTGTGGGCATAGAAGAAGCTAGCTTCTATTGAGACTGAGCACCACATCATCCTTGCTGCTCAATGGGCTTCAGGGTGGTCCTGAGGCTGATGACTGCGTTTATTTCTGATTCCTGAGTCACAGTATCCACCCTGGTAGGGCCTGGCTCCTGATAGGCTCTGACCTAGCACCCCCAAGTCCTCTGAAGCAAGCCCCTGTCTTCCTCAGGCTCACTCGCCATCCAAGACCAAGCCTCCTGTGCCTGGGGAAGGACCTCCACAAGACCACCATCCTCACTCCTGCCTGCCTACACAGAGAGCATCCCAGCTTTTATGGGTTGAATTGTATCCTGCCAAATTCCTATGTTGAAGTCCCAACCCTCAAATGTGACTATATGTGGAGACAAAGCCTTTATGGAGATACTTAAAGTTAAATGAAGTCATAAGGATGGGACCCTAGCCCAGTCGGACTGGTGTCTTAAAAAGAGGAAGAGACACCAGACATGCACACACAGGAAAAGCCCGTGTGAAGACAGTGATAAGGTGGCTATGTGCAAGCCGAGGAGAGAGGCTTTAGGAGAAACCAAACCTGCCAACACCTTGCCTTTGAAATTCTAGCCTCCAGGAGTGGGAGAAATAAATTCCTGTTGTTCAAGACCCTTAATCTGTGGTACTGTGTTATGGCAGCCTAAGCTAAGACATTCACCATCTCAGCCCACCTGTCAGGGCTGGTCTCACTGACCTAGTACAGTCATTTGGGACATACTTTGTGTGATTCAAAGAAGACCAAAGATATCACCCTTACAGAAGTTCCAGCTACCGACCAACCAGAATTGTTCTCTCTGGGGAATAGGTGCTAAATTCTTAAGTCCAGCTTTGTGCATTTCCCCAGGACAGCTCCTGGCATCTTTCTAATGTTATTTATCCCAATGCAATTTTCTAACTTTATTTAGAAGCAGAACCCTTTTTTAATAGTTGAACTATTCAGATCCCTCAAACTCAGTGTAACTAAATAGATAACAGATCTGGGGTAAAGTGCTCCAAGACCCTCCTTTCTATCCCCATGAAATTCTACAAAAACTACCCAAAACTTGGAGAAGCACTGCTTGCTAAAGGAATATAAACACATTTAAAAATTGTTCTAAACAGAGGATAAATAGAAAGGTAAGTGCGACAGGCCACTTTTCCCCCATCTCCAAATCTCATGTGTCAAAAACAAAAAAAACTTTATACTTTAAAAATTACCTGGTGTATACAAATAAACAAGGTTGTCTATATCTTACATCTAAATTGGCTAAGAAATCACAATTATAAGCTTCCAAAATAATAATGCTATATGCTTCTGCCTAAATATTTATGTGCAGTCAACTGAATGTGAAAGAGACAGAAATATCCTGAATGAAGAAGGGAATAGAGAGAAAGAGAGAAACTCATAAGCAACTTGGACCTTGATCCAAGGGCCACTATCACCACTTCTCCTGCCTCTGTCCAAAGGTTAAGGAAAGAGAGAAAGGATTTAGAGCATGGCCCCTCCATCTGGACCACGTGCACCAATGGTTCTGGTCCTGGCTGTGCATTAGTATCACTTTGGTAATGAATTAACAGGTATAGGTACAATCACCAACGGCTGCTATTGTCACAAAAAGAGAGAACCATACACTATGCACCCCCTGTACACAGCATCACCTTTGCAGTACACTTGGCAAAAATTTACTGAGTCAGATCAAGCCTCTAGACTACCACAAATCTACAACAAATATAGGAGGCAGAAGCATATGATAAAGCACACAACAGTAAAGCAAGCAGAAAAATTCTGAACGTGGGAATGGGAACTCTACAGGCAAATGCTCTGGTTTTTACACAAATAACATTCAAGGGGGCAAAAAGAAGCAAGATGAATGTATATAGCTCTATCAACCAATGGCAATGTGTTGTGTGACTTTTATTTGGGTCTTGAATAGGACAAACCAAATGTAAAATATCTGTGAGAGAATCAAGGGAATTTGAACACAGACTGAATATCTGATGCTCTTCATTATTTACTGTCAATTTGGGGGGGTGAAATAATGGTACTGGAGCTGTTTCTATTAGCTATAGTTATTTTAAAAAACAGAGCTCTTATTTTTTTGAGACATATGCTGAAATATTATAGATGGAATGATACGATGTCTAGGATCTGCTTTAAAACAATCTAGAGGGAAGTGATGGAGTAGATACGGCTATGCAAGTTGTACAAGCAGACTGGTGATGAGTTCAAAAAGACTGAAGTTGAGTGATGGGCACCTGACAGCCCACGATTTTATTTGAATCATGCATGTTAGAAATCTTCCAGAATACAAAGTTAGACAGGACAAAAACACAAATCAGCCAGAGAGTACTTAGGCCTCACTGAGATTACAATATGTTGGTCCAGGCGAGGCCTGTAGAGCCGTAGTTTTCAAATCCCCCCAGCTGGTCCCAGTGTGCAACCAGGATTAAGAACCGCTGACATAGCATCAGATAGCCCAGTACAACCAGTCTCTCAACTCGTTCCTCAGCTCCAGTGACTAATTAAAAAACCAGCAAGAGAGGCTTATATTACTTCAATAATCACAACTGCTGTGTCAGTTTGATCAAATTACCTGAGGATTTAGGTCAACGGTTCTCCATCAGGGAAGCATGTTCCTCCCTGTCCTACACCTCCACCAGCTTAAGGGGGCAAATATAGGCAGACATTGGTCTTAACAATATGTTTTTGGACCGGTCTCCTCAGTCAAGACCAACAAAAACAAAAATGAAAAAATGGGACTTGATCAAACTAAAAACTTTTTGCATAGCAAAGGAAACCATCAATAAAATAAAAAGGCAATCTACTGAATGAAAGAAGATATTTGCAAAAAATATGTCTGATGAGGGATTAATAACCAAAACAAATAAGGAACTCATACAACTCAACATCAAAAAAACAGTACAATTAAAAAATAGACACAGGACCTGAAAAGGCATCTTTTCAAAGGCATACAGATGGCCAACAAGCACATGAAAAGATGGTCCACATCACTAATCATCAGAGAAATGCACATCAAAACCACGATCTCTCATCTCATGCCTGTCAGAATGGCTATCATCAAAAAGACAGAAAATAATAACCGTGGCAAGGATATGGGGAAAAGAGAATCCTAGCACATTGTTGGTGGGAATGTAAATTCATGCAGCCACTATGGAAAACATTATGGAGGTTCCTCAAAAAATTAAAAATAGAACTATCATGTGTGTGCTAAGTCACTCCAGACTATGGACTGTAGCCCACTAGGCTCCTCTGTCCATGGGATTCTCCAGGCAAGAATACTGGAGTGGGTTGCCATGCCCTCCTCCAGGGGATCTTCCTGACCCAGGGATCGAACTCATGTCTCTTATATCTCCTGCATTGGCAGGTGGATTCTTTACCACTAGCGCCACCAGGGAAGCCCCCCAAAACTACCATACAGTCCAGCAATTCCACTTCTGGGCATTTATCCAAAGAAAATGAAAACACTAATTCAAAAAGACAAGCACCTCAATGTTCATAACAGCATTATTTACGATAGTCATGATATGAAAGTAAGCTAAATGCCCATCAATGGATGAATGGATAAAGAGGATACAGTACATATAATAAACACAATGAAACATGACTTAGCCATAAGAGTGAAATCTTGCCATATGCAGCAAAACAAATGGACCTGGAAGGTATTTTGCTTAGTGAAATAAATCAGACAAATACCATATATTTTCACTTGTATACAGGTTCTAAAAAACAGAACAAATAGAGATACAGAGAACAAACTAGAGGTTACCAGAGGGGAGGGGGTGGAGAGAGGGGCAAAGTAGGTGACTAGGATTAGGAGGTACAAACTACCGGTTATATAACAAGTAAGTCACGGGGATACAATGTACAGCACAGGAATATAGTCAGTATTTATAATAACTTCATATAGCACGTAATCTATAAAAATACTGAATCACTATGTTGTACACCTGACACTAATAAATACTGCAAGTCAACTACACTTGAGTAAATTTAAAAGAAAAAATTTTTTCAAGAATCATCTGGGAAGCATTTTTAAAACTAGACAGAACCCTTGGGGTTCCGTCACTGGCTCCCCTGAACAGCCTGACCAGACCACTGGGCGGGCCTCTCGCGGGCAATGGCGCCTCCCGTCAGGCGTCGGCGGAAGCTGGCGTCAGCGGAAGCTGGCGCCGGAAGCCTGTACCTGTGTCTGTTCCTCTTGCCCAGGTCTTCCTCCTCAGGAGCAGGGTCGATGTCGGGCAGAGGGATGATGTAGCCGCTGTCTGCACTCAGCCTCTGCTCGTCGAGGCCACCCTCCCAGTCCTTCAGCTTATCGTCCTCATTTTTGTAGGTGACGCCGATGTAGGCGTTGTCGGAGTCCACGCGCATGCGCGCCACAGCGGGATGATCACTCTTCAGAAAGTCCAGGTGGATCTTTTCATAACTCTGCAAACATTGATTTCACAGAGTTACTCAAGGGTTATTGACAGAACTGCAAAAAAGAATGCAGATGCTCAGAACTTACTACTGTTTAACTGTCTGTGTTTCCAAACTACCTCGCAGATGTGGGGTTTGGACCCCTGAAGGAGAATCAGATGTCAACTGTCCCCAGAGATGTGGAACAAGAAGAAAGGACCACCATTGGCAGAGATCTCCTGCTGGTAGGTCTTGAGATACCAAGAACCCATTCTGCAAGTCAGTAGCTATACTGTGTCCCCATACACTCCCTTCTCTGGAATTAGCATCGACCCTCTGGTCCCCATCAGATAGTCTCTCTGGGGCTTTGATGGGTTCCCATAAGAGGTGACTAGGGCTTCCCCTGGGAGCACCATGCCTGAAACTTTCTTGATCCCTATACATTGGAGAAATCTAATTAAAAACTTACGGACCATTGATCTAAAAAGGCTCCGTAAACAAGAGCTCCAGTCTGTTCCCATCAATACCATCTTCATCAACTAGAGTGTCTTTGACTTTCCTATGGTTAATCTCCTTCCCTCCTTCTGCCTTCCAGCTGCCTCACTTATGGCATTTGTAAGAGGCAGTGAAATAATCAATAAACAAAAGTATTTAACTTCCAGTTCAGCTAACACTGCTCTTCCTTGAGAAGAAGGAAGAGAAGCAATAAGTATAGAAAGTCTACATGGCAACTAATCTGAATCTAAGAAATTGTGCCTAAGTTTCCTTCTCAGCATCTCAGCAGAAAGTTGCTTCATTCATTACCATATCCTGCTTGGTTCCATGAAATTACATTTGTTCCTTTGAACAATGCTTCCTATTCCACAAAAAACCAGCTGGAACCACAGATAACAGCTGAGGTTGCTCCTTCCAGTCAGCTGGCAAAAGCCAATTTTGCATGGATTTAAGTGCATTCAAATTAGCGATTTAATGGCTGTGGATGCCCTGAGACTTCTAACTTCACAGTAGCTTCAGATACTCAAACATCTGGAGAATAAAGTGCTTACAGGTGTTGCACACTTAGGATGAATGGGAGCCGTGCAGGAAGGGGAGGGTTTTCATTCATCACTGCTACCAAGGGCCTGGGGAGCACTGCATGAAGCCCCAGCCACTGGATCACACAATCTTTTGCCTCCTTTGAAAATGTTCCATTAAAATAGTGTTGAACAGTACTGCTCGCTCACGTAACCAGCTGTTGTCTCCTGCCCTTGACCATCCCTTGCCACCCACCCATCTTAAGAGGCCCAGTCAAACCTTTTTATATTGTCCAGGCAGCAGATTCTCCACAATTTCACTCAGGTGGTAAAAGGAGGGTCTCTTCTCCGGCTCACTGTTCCAGCACTTCACCATGATCTCGTACCTGGAGAAGCACAGGAGTCAGAGTGGGCACGGAGAAGATGATCAGGGCACCCCCACCCCACAGACCCATCAGGCATGAACACAGGCCCACAGGATGGGGAGAGGCTCACACTTCACTGGTGGCATGGTCAGGCTTGGCCATCCGGTATCCACTCTTGATCTTATTGTAGAATGTAGAATCCACCATCATGCCAGGGTAGGGTGTACCACCTGAGAGGCCAAGAAGAAAACAACCAGGGTTGACAAGTGTGTGGTACACTGTTGAAACACCTGGGGTGATATAGCACCTTTAAAAAAATGTTTGGGGATCCCCACTTTGAAGTATCGGTTCTTTGAAGGAAATTAAGTGTTACCATCTGCTTGATTTCACAGCCCTGCCCAAATCTTAAATTTAACCAAAAGGGAAAGTCCAAAAAAACACAGAGGGACACACCAAAGCTTGCTTGCATCACACCACTATAGTAGTCCACCCTCCAAAACAAACCACAAGCTTGAGCTACTTTAAGGAAATGTTGTAAGCAATTCAGGTCTATCTAGTGGAGCCAAAATGAACTGCTATTACTCAAAGTAATTCTATGAAAAATGTTTTTAAAGTTAGCAGGAACAGTAAGAGAATGCCTACTTTCTTCTTTGCTGTGATTAGAGACATGCATTCATGTATTCATGGATTCATTTAACAACTCTTTAAGTTATTACTTATGTATTTCCTTCGTAATCCTATTTCTAAATTAAATGTAACCTATAAGTCATTAAAAAAAAATTAACTAAGACTTCTAGGTTGATCAAGTCCAGAAACCCTAGCAAAAATTCTACACATCTAGAAAAAGCACAGAAGTGTTCTTCAATGGTTCTGAGTAATGGATCTATGAATACAAAGAAAAATAGAAAATCCAGAGAAATTCTGAATCACTAAGGCCAAAAAAGTTATTTTCATCAGAAACGTTCAAATAATTAAGGCAGAAATCTTGGAATGTCTAGCTAATTCTCTGCTTTTAACAGAATACGAGACTCTCAGTTAAGCTACATACTGGGGTGATCCACAGTGTGGATCCACATCCATGGAGGGATGAACCAAAATAGAAAAAGGCAACAAGCAGGAAAAGTCCTTTACTATCACATCAGGACAATCGTGGGTTCATGAAACATTTCACACTTTACCAGGTCAAGCTTAATCTCCTTCTAAAACCACTCGAGGATTCCTTTCTTTGTTCCCTAGGCTTCTATTTCAACTTGAAATCAGGACCACATAGATTATGACTAAATGTGTAAGTGTTATCTCCCCAGCTGACCTGTCCACGGTCAGGGTCATCAGCCATCCCCTTAGAAGGCCCGTAACTGGTCGCACGGGACACCTGTCTTGCTCAGTGCCTGGTGCTGACTGACTGACTTGTCTGGAAGGTTTCTCCCCTCCAGGATGACGACCAGGAAGCGAGTCCCCATTCCCTTCCCTCACGGGACTACTTTTCACTGCACATCCATCACCAAGAGGGATGGGAGTCAGGGGAGGGAACTCTCCCCTGGTGAACCCACTTAACCCAAAGTCCAAGGTGAAGCAGCGGCTGGTGAGTGGATGTCATCAGGTGCATCTCCAGTAGGAGAAAGTTCCTCTGATGTAGCCCAAAGGAAAGAGGGAGGCAAAGGCCAGGGGCAAGGGCTCGGCCCCCTAAGATCCCTTCTCAGACCGCTTGGACACACACTAGCCATCGTAAGTGCACAACGTGTTAATCAGCTACATTCCACTTGACTAACACCAGGTATCTTAACATTATTTACATCCCCAAGCTTGAAAAACACAGCGTCTCCCTTCCAGTGTTATTCCAGAACAACCCAAACAAATGGAGCTTTTAGGCCCATACCAAGGGAAAAGATCTCCCAGAGCAGGATGCCATAGGACCAGACGTCACTCAGTGTGGTGTAGAGGTTGTCAAAGATGCTCTCAGGAGCCATCCACTTCACGGGGAGAAAGGTCTGCGGGGAAGGGGAAGGACATTAAACCCAGCATGTGCAGCAATAACCTATAGCAGCAAAAATAGAAAGGGCTTCTCTTGGAACTAATAATAACTCCTGTCAGGAACTTTACTCTGCATGAGCGTCTGTACTCCCAGCACTAGAAGAGTACCTGGCACCTCCTGGGTGCTCTATATACATATCTTATGAATGATGGGTGCTCACTCTTGTCTCTTATGCCCTCCCAAGGAGTAACATCCAAAGATTTTTAATCCTGAATTTTTATCCCAAAGATACGAGCCTTAAATGGACCTGTCCCCTATTTTCAGGTGTTCGTAGGAACCAAATTAAGAACAGACCCAGTGAACTGAGAGCCAATTACATTTTTGAACTGTAAGAAACAATGGGAAGAAGGTTCGAATGCAGAAGAGAATGACTATCTTTAAGGAAACTGTGCCTCTAAGATGTAAAGCTAGTCAAATGGCTTTAACATTTCCGGGTCACAGACACCATCTGAAAATTTGATACTCTGCAAGGGTGCACTCCTTGGAAATGAATGCACAATTTACATATTAATAGCTAACACTTGGCTGCTTTGTAAGTGTCAGGCACTGTCCTCAGCACTTTACACAAATCCACTGATCTAATGCCCCATGGCAACTCAGAAGACAGGTACTGATACCATTTCCCCGATACAGTCAGGGAAACCATGGTACAGAATGGACTTGCCCCGAGTCCCCACACTAGTAGGTGCTGAGCCGGTGCTCACACCCAGGCAGTCTGTAGAGCTTGTGGTTTGCCTACTGACCCCTGGAGCCCATTCATGAATGTCATGGACTCCATGTTAAAAGTCCGGGCTGTGAATGGCGAGAAGCAACGTCTGCTTTCAGAGATTCAAGAAAGGGAAGGCAAGCATGCCAAACGAGGCAGGGGCACGTACGCTGCCTTTGGACACGTAGTTCGAATCATGCATGATGTCTCTGGCCAGGCCAAAGTCACAGATCTTCACGATTTTCCCTTGCGCCAGGAGGACGTTGCGAGCCGCCAGGTCCCGGTGGACACACTGCGCAGACAGGGGAGACGGGATGGGGGTCAATCCAGCGGCCACTGATAGCACGCCCACGGCACGGGCACCTCCGCGGTGCCCCAGGAAGACTGTCCTGGCCCACGGAGCACCCCTCGCCCAGGCTTTCAACCCAGCGCCTCCCAGGAGGGAGAAAGCTCTGGAAAAAAGCGGACACCTGATCCTGCTGGAGGGCCCCTCACCTTCCAGGAAGGGCTACTGAGAAGCCATGTGGCCACTGGCCGTCCACAACTCTCCTTCCACGCTCACCTCACTCAGAGCAAGGCCTGGGTCTAAGGAGGTCTCAGTTGTCTGAACACACTTACATTTTTTGAAGCCAAAAACTCCATTCCTCGGGCAACTTGATAGGTAAAGCTCAACAAATCCAACAAAGTCAGGCCTTCTGAGTTATCATCTGAAAGGAGGTTTTTGACTTCTGAGTCTGCAGGAAAAGAATTAAGCATGTTGGCACTAGTGGACAGCATGAAATGTCAGCCACCTTGACACTCTCACAAGGCTGGGCCGCTCATCAGGCTGCAGAGGCTTGTCCAGGGAACATACCTATGATCATGTTCTCACAGTGTAAACTGCAGAAATGTCCTCTTTAAAAAGAAATACGGACTTCCCTGGTGGCTCAGTGGCAAAGAATCCACCTGCCAATGCAGGAGACACAGGTTCCATCTCTGGTCCAGAAAGGTTCCACGTGCTGTGGAACAGCTAAGCCTGTGTGCCCCAACTACTGCGTTCTTGCTCTAGAGCCCTAGATCCACAACTACTGAAACCCACGTGCCCCACAGCCCATGCTCCACAACAAGACAGAAGCTACCACAATGAGAAGCCCGAACGCCATGAAGAAGAGGAGCCCCCGCTCGCCGCAACTCGAGAAAGCCAGCACAGCCATAGATAAGTAATTTTTTTAATTTCAAAAATAAATCAAAAGAAATTTATCTGTAAATACATACACTTGGTTTAAATATATATCTCCATAATGACTAGTCTAACAGGTTCTCACACATATTTTTGTTGTTTGGCTCCCAAGTTTTCCTTTAGCAAATCACCTAAGCCACCTTTAAAACACACACCCACACCCACCCACACCCACAACCACACCCATGCATCTTCTATGATGAATGTACATGAGGCCTCTATGAAAAAGCAGCTTCTAGGAATTGCTGTTTTTTTCTTTTTAAAGCCAACTTCATAGCACTTGGCTTACTTTATGAATGGAATTAGCCACCAATCAGGCTGGAGTAGAAATCTTCAAGCTCAGTGCCAAAGACTTTGCATGTAGTTCCTTTCTCTGTAACTTGCCTACTTTCCCCAGTTGGTCCCGCCTGGAAGGGTCCCAGGGTTTTCGAGGAAGGAGGCAATCTAGGCCAGCAGCTCTCAGCACTTTTTGAAAAAGCTCAGGCAAGTACAGAGTAGCTGCAGCCATTCACATTTTTCCAGCCAGAAAGCAATGGTCTGCCTGCCAACCGGGCCCGGGCTAAGCATGAATCAGGTTCTCCTGACATCTGGAGCCAGGTCCGGCCTGGGAAGCAATGTAAACTATTTTTAACAATACAGGAGGGGAGCGGAAGTGTTGGTTCCGACAAGTCTCGTTGGCCAACCTTTTTAAAGGGCTTGGAAGTTTACCCAGTTGGCACTGAGAGGGGAATGGAACTTGGAGCTGCAGCGGTGGAAAATATTATTATGTACTACGCTTTGCAAAACAAGCACATTCTTTTTTTTTTTTTTCAATGATTGTACCTTTCATTCAAGAACCCTGAAAGCATCCAGAGTACATCAGTGATTTTCAAAACAATTTCCATGGCAGCACAACACCTTTTAGGCAGGACCTAGGGGAGGTCTCAGACCCAGTAATATAAAATTATGCAACAAAGCATGGTCAGATCTCTCCTGAAGCCTCCTCCCAGCTCCAAGCCTGTGATTACACTAGAACCCTGCAGGGGCCACCCCCCACCAGATGTGGGGTGGTCCATATGGTATGAGCATCAGCTAGGCTCCCTGGAGTTTATAAATCAATCAACCCTGCCACATGCTCATCTGCTTTGAAAACAAACGATCTTCCTTCAAACAACATTCAATAGAAACACCCAACACCCTTGTCAGGTATAACCTCAAATTGTCCACTTTTCATTTTCTATCACAAATTGGGCATTAGCAAAGCTAACAGCTAGGACTATCAAACACAGATATAGAGATTTATATAATTGAATTTTTAAAAATAATATTAGGAATTAATAAAAGATTGCCAGATTTTAATGTTACCAAGTAAGGGCACTGAGAAAAACTAATTACCACCATACCTTCATTTAAAACAAAAAAGGTATGTTAAACCAAAAAATGAATACTATTATGTTAGAATAAATAATTCTTTAAAATGGTTATGTTTTAAAATGTACAATTCAGGGATGCAATGTACATTATTAATATAACTGATACTGCTACATTTTACATATGAAATTTAAGGGGCAAAATCCTAAAAGTTCTCATCACAAGGGAAAAAATTTTCTTTTTCTTTTATTTTGTATCTATGTGAGAAAATGGATGTTCACTAAATTTATTGTGGTAATCATTCACAATGTTTGTAAGTCGAATCATTACACCGTACACCTTAAATGTACACAGCCCTGTATGTCAGTCATATCTTAATATCTCAATAAAGTCAGACAAAATAAAATTAATAAAATGACTACACTTAAAATCTGAAAAATTCATTATGTTAGTTCTGTCTTTATTCTTTTTCCTTTTTTCAATTCACAAGCCAGGGCTTCCCTGGTGTTACAATGATTAAGAATCTGCCTGCCAATGCAAAGAACATAGGTCTGGAAAATTGCACACACCGTGGAGCAACTAAGCCCATGTGCCCCAACTACAGAACCCCGTACATCAAGAGACTACTCTGTAACAGGAGAGGCCGCCACAACGAGAAACCTGCCCACTGCAACAGAGGTGCCCTCAGTCGCCATAACTAGAGAAAGCCCACACACAGCAATGAAGACCTAGCACAGCCAAACACAGATAAATAAATAAATAAAAAGAGTTTAACTAGTATGAGTTCTAGTTTAAAAAAAAAAAATTACAGGCCAGACCTGCAAAAACATGTCACAAACCCAGCTGTGCACATCTGCAGTTAGGGACCACGTGGCCTGACAGTCCTGCCTACCAGGACTGCTCACCACCTTCTGAGTCGTCTACGTATCATATTAAACCACTGGAAGACCTCAGCACCCCAAGCACAAGCAAAGACATCTTTACCTAACATGGATTTCTTCTTATACGAGGCTGGGCGATCATACAGCGCTCTCTGGATGTCTGAGTATTTAGAAACCTCTTTCCTTTCCAGCATGGGGACATACTGCGTGGTGTCAGCTTGCTTCATGTCCATGTAGTCACCATTGTTTTCAAAAGATAAGATAACGTAACTGTAAAAACAGAAAAAGAAACCTTAGCCAGGGTGTCCCTCTGGAGTGATCTTCCAGCACTCAGCAGATGAGGACCAGGTACCCACCATGTGTGAGGCAGTGGTGGGCACAGAGGCAGCAGAGGAAACAAAAGCACACAGTCACCCGCATCCTTCACATGGGTGGTCTAGTCGGGCAGATGAGCATTAATCACGGATCACACAAACACACAGACCACCTCAGCTCAACTCTGTCTTTATTCTGTTTTTCAGTTCACAGGCCACAAAGCTTCACCAGGTGACCAAGTGGCTTGGACACACGATTTCTTCTACTCAATAAATTTAACACCAATTTGGTGTCCATCGAGTAATTTAATATGAAGTGAATTCACATACATTCTGATCTTGTAGAACATCATGTCTACAGCGATCTTTTCAGTCACTTTAGACATCTACAGTGGCAATCATCACTTCATTGGCCTGACTGATATGCCTGGGTTCAGCAAGGACCAGTGTCTCAAACTTGTAAATCCTCAGATAGTTTCTCACAAGATATGAGCACTGAGGCTTCCCTGGCCAGAGATACATCTGGAAGTCTGAAGTGGACCACACATAAACAGCAACTGGCTCCCAGGATGATTTCAACTCTTCCTCTCATTCAAACCTATCAGCAATGCTTTCCCCAACATGATATCCTGTCTAAAACGCCTACAGACATGGGGTATCTCTCAGCAACATGTCACAGGGTGATGAAGCAGGGTAGTCGACTTTAAGTCTTGCTACCTCCTGGCCCTGAATCTGTAAACATGATCTCCATCAGGACATGGGCTGTCGCCACTGGTGAGGCTCATACGACATTTCCTCCCTGGAGGAGGAAATGGCAACCCACTCCAGTATCTTTGCCTGGAAAATCCCATGGACAGAGGAGCCTAGTGGACTACAGTCCATGGGGTCCACAAGAGTCGGACACGACTGAAGTGACTGAGCATGCACACATGCATAAGACAGTGATTCACAGCAGCGTCTGTCTCTGCACCTACCTTCTCGTGCTTTCGTCAGCTGGGTTCAATCCAAAAATGTCCAGCTCTTTCTTTGGCTTCTCTGGATGGTGGCTCAGGAAGCTGTCCCTATTCTTATGCAAATAGTTGACCAAATCCCCATAGAAGCAGTACTCAGTGATGATGTAAATGGGGCCTGTGGGGTCCAAAACCAGTTGGGAGATGAGCATGAACATGAAGAACAGAGAAGCCATGAACTTACCGTATCTACAGTGGTAAAAGACACTGCTCAGGAACAGGGAGCTTCCCTCAGCCGAACTCAGTCCACAACCCCATTCAACAGACTGACATTTGCTGGCATGTCTGGAGGTACATCGTGGGGGATTAAAAAGCCTGGACAGTCTTCGCAATGGTAGGTGTGCTAGGAAAACCCTCACTCTCAGGTGAGCAAGCCTACCTGACTTGGTGCAGGCGCCCAGCAAGTTCACGATGTTTAAATGCGGCCCCAGGTGGGTCATAATCTTCAGTTCAGACATGAGAGCTTGTTTTTCACTGGATCTGGCTGTGGCTGTTGAAGAAATAAATCATACATCAGTTCAACTGGATTATTTATTTCCCAGAAAAAGCCAAAAGCATGGCTTACCCTACAACTAGGTATCATTTTATTTACCAACAGTCTCAAAGGGAAATGGCTAGTAACTCAGTACCCACTAATTACTTATCCCAAGTCTGCAGAGTGAAAAGAAGCTACTAAAAATAACTCTTGATTTTTCCAACATATAAGTGACAAGAATACTCTAAATAAACCTCACTGACAAGAGTCTAAATACGCAAAAAACCTAGAGTTGAAAGAACCAAGATCTAGTCCTAAATTTGACATTTACTGGCTGTGTGATTTTTGAGTTTAATATCTCCATGTTCAAGAAATCTCCAGAAAAGGGGCACTTACGTTTTAGCATCTTCACTGCTACTTTCATGACAGGTTGAGACCGACTTAATCCATAGGCAGTTCCTTCAACCACTTTCCCAAATGCACCAGACCCCAGGATCCGACCTGCGGGCAACCAGAACCATCAACACACACAGAATCAGGCATCTCCTCCAATTCATTTACCACGGCCAGCGATCATGGGTGCACAGCTGGGTGGTGTTTTTCCCATATGGAGAAAGCATAATAACTCCTCCAAGTCATCATGTCAAAACCAGAATTGAGCCCACAGGGAAGGAAATTAGTGTAATTGCTTTTGTCATATAACATTTGCAAAGAAAAGGAAAAACAGACGGGAAGAAAGGAGCTGCAGCCCTCCCTAGTGTGAGCATTCGCCTACCGGCTGGAGAGCTTAACCAAAGCCTAGGCTCTATGGAACCTGTTCTCTGTGGCTCTGGCCCAAACCTCCTGGCTCTCCACCCTTCTGTTTTCCCCACGCAAAAACAGGGGCACCTTTTGCATCAAAAGCCTTTCTCCACTGGAAGTGAAAGTGAAAGTGAACATGAAGTTGCTCAGTCTTGTCTGACCCTTTGAGGCCCCATGGACTGTAGCCTACCAGGCTCCTCCATCCATGGGATTTTCCAGGCAAGGGTACTGGAGTGGCTTGCCATTTCCTTCTCCAGGGGATCTTCCCGACCCAGGGATTGAACCCTGGTGTCCCCCATTGCAGACAGACGCTTTACCCTCTGAGCCACCAGGGAAGCTTCTCTGCTGGAAATACTTCCCTATTCAGGACATTACTGATTCCAACAGTGATGAAGCAAACTTCAGGCTGGCCCTCTTGCTGTCTGTTAGGAAGACCAGGAAGAGAGAAGGCTAAACATGCCCAGGAGCACAACAGTTTGCCACGTGTTGGGAGAGAACAGAGGGAAATGGAGGCTCTCGTGCCCACAATTTTTTTTTTTTTACCTTTTTATTTTGTATTGGGGTATAGCCAAGTAACAATGTTGTGAAAGTTTCAGGAGAACAGAGAAGGGACTCAGGCATGCCTACACATGTATCCGTTTTCGCCCAAACTCCCCTCCCGCCCAGGCAGCCACGTGACATTGAGCAGAGTTCCCTGTGCTGTGCAGCAGGTCCTCGCTGGTTATCCATTTTAAAAATCATTGTGCACATGTCCATTCCAAACTCCCTGTCTTCCTTCCCGTGTCATGCCCACTCTTAGAGTCTGCAGTCTAGAACAGACGTTTCCTCAAACCAGGGGACGACGTGGCCCCTAACGGGCACAGAGAGCCCACAGCGCCGCTGACTACACGTCTGCCCGGCTGGGACTTGTTCCTGCAAATGCACCACTTCCCCAGCAGCTCAGCAACACACAGCAGCAGAGAGACACAGCAACGCCTCTTAGCGACGAATGTTGCCCCTTTTTCTCCGTATTTTATTACTTTTTAACTTCCCTAAGCTCCTCACCTTTTGTAAAACAAGGGAGAAAATATAATAAAGCAAGCTTAGTTCTCAGACATAGGTATTTGAATGAGAGAGGCTAGGGTGTCTTGTCTGGTCTCAGTTTAAGTAACTTTCTAGGAAGACCTAATTTGGCTGCTTTCTGGAATGAGACAAGTAGATAATTTAAAAATGCCTTCGGCGTCCTCCAAAGGACATACTGTTAGAATATTCATGATAACACAACCTCTAGCTCTCACCTTCATTTGTCTTTGTCCTGTTTTCATTCATTTAGAATGTAATTAAAAAAAAAAATCTCTTGACTAAAGTTTCCTGTACTTGGTCTCAACCCAAAACTGAAATATTTGAGAGGTTTTTCATGTTTTGCTTTAAAATGCAAAAACTTATATTTTTACATTCTATTTTTAAAGAAGTATCTACTACATCCTCAGAAGGTACTGGGTCAAAACATATTTTTGGACTGTCCTCATTCATTTTTCATCTGTTCCTTTTTCATCACAGAAATTCATCTCGTTTCCAATGGGTATCATTTCCAAAACAAAGCCACTCTGATGGGTGTCTCCCTATAGTCTCTTCTTCCTTTGTAAAGTTTTCTTAACCTGTAATTTGCTATGGAAGGAGGTTTTTAAAAAAAAAAAAAAAAAACCATCGCAGTGATCCGACTGGCTCATTTTCAAAGGCAGAAAAATATTTCCAAAAAAGCCAATCTCTAACGCCTCACTCTTACTAAGTACAAGTTCAGATCCTTTGTTCCTCCACAGGCCTGTGAAGAGTAACGCTGTGGACAAAGCAAAAGGAGTCCTGGGCGATCACCCAGCAGGGCCGGAGCTTACCAAGCACAAGTCCATCTCTTGGAAACTCCCATCTCGAGTCATAAGGCAGCTGCATCGGGTCCACATAAATGTACTCATGTCCATCGGGGCTGATTGATTCAATGACCCGCCAACGGATTTCATACCTTGGTTTCTGTAAACGACACGGACAGGTAACTAGTAAATTACCAACGTCCGAAGATACCAAAGCTTAACCACAGCAGCAAAGTGACTGACACGGAAGGATTCAACAACATTCACTCATCATCTAGTTACTGAGCTCCTTCTCTGCGCCAAGCACTGAGCTAGGTTGCTCTTCTTGTTCTTATCAGTAATGATTTTTAGTTCTTTAAAAAACATCTACCTGTTTCCAAATGACGACCAGGACAATGAGTGAGATGATCACAATCACCAACAGCACCAGGACTGCAGCCGCCACAGTGAGCTCAGAGCGCAGAGCTAGAGGACAAGACAGGGGCACGGGGGAGAATTTGCACAGATTCGCAGGAGGGCAGGAAGGCAGGGTGGCCACTTCTGGGCTGTAAATCTCTCTCTACTGGTGGAGAAGCATAAGGGCTGCCTGGCTCATTTGGGGAATGGGCAAGATCATCTCTCAATTATCTACATGCATGAAACTACTCCAACTCTTCCCCTGGACAGGCAAGGGACAAAATTCGGTTGGGAACACAATTCTTTTCTCCAAAGGTGCTCCGGAATGTGAACTGGAATATAAAGACTGATAAATGAGGCTGAGCGATGCCATTAGTTCAGAAACTTAAGTGCAGTGTATTTTGAAAGGTTGCTGTATACTTATATTGCTTTGGGCTTCACTAATTTTTTTTCTTTTTTAAGAAGTCAACCTGTCTCAACTGTCACAAGGAGCAACAAGGTAGAAGATCCTCCTTCCCCATCCTCCATCACCACGCCAGACCAAAGAGACTAGGTAGCTACATACTTATAGACAAACAAAATACCAAGGGGCCTCAGAAAGATGTAGTTTGAGATCTGAAACAAAAGGGTCCCACATAGATGCCCAGGGAAAGCCCTTTAAGATCTGGGATTCAAAGTTCCACCGAAGGGAGGAAGGGATCAGCTGTCCCAACCCATGAGCTACTCACTGGGAGCCACCAGCTTCAGCTCTCGGCTTTCCACCCCGAGGAGGTTCTTGGCCAGGCACCGGACTGCAATGGTCTCCTCCACTTTGGCGAACGTCACCTGGCCTTCCACCGTGCTCCTGTCTCGGGGGTGAAACTCTGTGATGATGTTTGAAATGTTGTTGGCCAAAACTGTCCATGAAGTTTCATTGTTACATCTGGAGAGAGTAAAAGGCATAGATATAGAGCCCATTGTGGGGAGTCTGGGGGTGGAGCACTGAGAATCATTTAAGACAGCAAACAGCGCTGACCCTGTCTGCATTTGCAAGGCTAGAGATTGATGTTTTAGATGCAGATTAACCTTAAAACTTGTTCTCCGAGAGAGAATAACCTACATGTCGGTAATTAAAAGTTAACTGTTGGGACTTGCCTGCGGGTCCAGTGGCTAAGACTCTGAGCTCCCAATGCAGGAGGCCCAGGTTTGATCCCTGGTTAGGGAACTAGATCCCACATGCCCCAACAAGAGCTGGCATCTAAAGATTCTGCATGCCACATGCACATGACTCAGCACAGCCAAATAAATAAAAAAAATTTTAAAGTTAACTGTTTATGAAGGCAAGGCAGAGATAAACAAGTTCAATGCAACAGAACTACCTGTCACAAGCCTTGAACCCCTGAGCAAACTGGACTTCAAGAATGTTTAAGTCGCCCAACATCCCACCCCTCCAAAAAAGGCCTGGTGCCCTCCCTTTCCTCCACCCACACTGTGGGGACCCCCTCAGGCATAACTAGGACTGGACCTAGAATCCAGCCCCAGTCTAGATCCAAGTCCAGTGCCTGTTGGTCTCAGGTGCCAGGGGAGGAATCTCAGCCTCCAAGAGAAGCTCAGAGGCTTCGGAGCACAGCGGGCACCCCGGGAAGGAGTGCAAGCACACTGCTCAGGGGCCCACTAGAGAAGGCCGAGGGACGCGGGGTGGAGGAGGGACTGGCGAGTTACCTCCCACCACCCAGCAGGTAGAGAGGAGCCCCCTAGGCAGTATCATCATGCATGTTCACACGCCAGTCTAGCCACCAAATGAAGTTCACCAAAGACAAATGTGAGACGAAAACATGGGCCTACCAAAACATGGGAGGAGAGATCCTCTTAAAGCGGGTCTTTAAATTCGTGCTCTTTTCAGATTAGAGACCCTTTGAGAATCTGTTGAAGGCTATAGACCTTCTTCATACAGCTACTCATGAACACAAAAGCACATGCACACACCTACGTATGCACACACACAAGCGCACACACGCACACATGTGTGCACACACATGTGCGCACGCACACACACATACACACACATGGTCCATGTTTGGAACCCTATCTTGTAGTTTGACCTAGGCCAAATAAGAATCATAAATTCCAAAAACAGAGCCAGCCAAAGAAATAAAATGCATTTGAGGTTCTTTGTGCCAAGGAAGAAAGAGCCTGACCACAAAAGAGAAAGGAATGTGTTCCATACTTCTTAATATCCTTGCAAACCATCCACTCGATATCAGGAAGAGGGGTCCCTTCGGCTGTGCATCTCACAGTCTGGCCTCCATTAGAGCCATGGTGATCGTCAACCAAGTCCAGTATGGAGGATGGAACTGCAGGAGGTGAAAAGAAATCAGAACTGGATGGTTGGCACACCAGAACTTTGGGGGACTACCAAGTGGAATATGAGTTCAAAACTTGTCCACATAACATTTGAACCTATAAATCAACCAACCACCCAGCAGGGAACTGAGACCAGTCATGTGCATAATAACACTCCAGTTTGCACAGATCCAATCGGTTAAGGGCATGCTTAAGGCATCTGTGCCCTGTGGTGTTCTAAATCTGGTGTAAAGAAAGCAAAAGCCCCGAGTTTATTTGAGTTGAAAGACAAAGAGGCTCTTAGAGTTATATTATAGCTTGGGAATCAGCTTCCAGACTCATCTAAACGGTAGGATCTAAAGGAGCATTTACCAAAGTGCAATATTATTACATTTTAAAGATTCTTGTTCGTAACCAGTGATCAAATAAGTTAGAAATATGCTAATACCTGTATCACAGATTGACTATGAGGGTCAAATGAGCCTACCTAGACAGTACATGGCCCGTGGTAGGTGCTCAGTGAATAGGTGCTAAACTGGCATATAAACAGACTTGGGCACTCTGTTCTGGGAGGGGCTTCTATAGAGGTCTATAAGGAACGCTAGGCACAGAAAGCCAAAACACTCTGGAACAGCTTAACGTCATCTGGACCAAAACATATCATTTCACTCTTTCCAGAACTGGAGGTACCTAACTGAGAAATAGGTGGTAAGGAAGCGATTGGAGCCTAGGAATTCCAAGTCAGACAGTCCAGACTAGCCTGGAACCTCCCAGAATTATGTGAATTCATAAGTCCAACAGAGCTACACCTGACACCCAAAGCCCCTGCTTCTCCCCTGAAAGGGTTGATTTTTCCTTCCAAGACCTGTGGGGACAAGGCCAGGCTCTTCTCGGGAGACTCTCAGTCATCCACCCACCGAGCTAGAGTTATCTTTAACTGGCTCTTATATACCTTGAGTCAAGAGTTCAAAAGTATAGCTCTTCACATCATCTTCATTTTGAACTACAATAGTATAATGGCCGCTGTCTTCTTCCTTTGCTCGAATCAGCTTTAATTTGCTTCGATAACTTAAAAGAAAAGGACTGTGTTTCAGCAAGGAGTAGCCCAATAAATTCCAATCTTTAAGCAATTACCATATTCAATTCAAATGTTGTTAAAAAACATCTTGTCCATATGATCTCTTTCCTGGGATTTTCCTTACATCATCTATGCACTGAAGGTCTGAGCTGTAGACTATTTCATTCTTAAACAGAAGACCAGCGATGAGCAATGGCTTATGTGGCTACAAGAGCTGTCAGTTCTGCTAAGGCCTGACTTCTAGACGGGAAAAAACAAATCTTACCATCTTTCCTTTTATTTTAATCCTGGATTTTTATGTTTAAGAAAAAAATACTTGCCAACACTGTTAAGCAAGTATACTCCAATACAAAATAAAAATAAATACTTCACTATGGTTGTGATAAAATAAAAAAAATAAAAAAAATAAAAAAAATAAAAAAAATAAAAAAAAAATAAAAAAAAAAAAATAAATAAATACTTGAGTCCCCTTAACATCCATCATATGAGTCATTCAGCCAAATACTGAAACATCCTTGGAAGAAACAATAGAGACACTGCCTCTGTATTGATATGGAGAGGTCACTGGGGTATAAAACTCCTGCTTGCTTGTATTTGCTTAAAAAACTCTGGAAGGTTTCATAAGAAACCTTCCTAACAAAACTAATAATAGTATTCCTTGTGGGTGGGGGGGAGGAGGTACCAATGCATACGAGGACAGGAGTGAGGCTTCTTACAATGCACTGTCTTTAGGTGTGAATGTTTTTAAAGTGCAAGATGCATCTTAAAAAAAAAAATACAGAAACACCTCACTAAAGAGAAGTTTCTCCAAAAGATTGCTTACACGTGTAATAAATGACATTTCGTTGTGTGTGTGTATGTGTGTGCGCAATAAAGTATCTGCCCATCTGACTGTCCGTTACAACAGCGTGGAAGAGCAAGTGGAGTGAGAGGAAGGGCGCTGGTCATGGAAGGAGGAGACCTGGGGCGTTACTGAAACTCTCCAAGCCTCAGGTCCCCTGGGGGTACCATAAGGGATAACTATATGCAAGGCGTAGAGTCATTGTGAGAATTACATGAACCAATCTATAGGAAAGCATTTCAGAGGCTCCAAAATAGCATGCAAATGTCAAGTCTTCCAGCCAAGACACTGGATGCTGGAGACGTGACGGGCACACTGGGCTGGCTCTCCCTCTGCCGCACCAAACAGCACCTCTGCAATGGGTTTCTTTAGAGCCCCCTAAGCACCCCTGGCTGCCGGTGACCAGACAGTCTGCCGTCACTCATTTTTTGCACTTGTCCAGCCAAGGAAGCTGTGAATCCACTAGTTTTAGGGAAATCAGACACCCCTCCATCATGCGCATCCTTACATTCCCTGGCCTGTCATGGGGACCAGAAGATGATGTGCTGGAGGAAATCAAAAAACACCCTAAGAGACAGCTCTCCTGGACTGCTCCGCAGACAACCACCGTCTGGCCATCGCGACTGAAGGTAGCTTGCAGACAGCCCTGGGTGTCTCAAGTGTTGGCTACGCTGGGATCACCCTATTTCTCTCTGGCCTCACAGCCTAGTAGAAAGTTAGACACTGTCCACTTCTCTGTGTTCCTACATTTCGTGTCTTAGCAAGCCTTCCGGATCAAGTATCCCACTTCTATCTCTATCACTGTTCCACAGAGGTTGTCACATTCCATTCTCCCAGTTACACATTCAGTTCAGAAAGAAGGAAGCAAATCCTGAAATTAAGTGAACTAATGGCAGAGGTGCCATCTTCTCCTCTTTCCTGAAGGCTTGAAATAGAGGATTTTGTTTCCTTGGAAAGGTTTCTGACAAAGATGTAGGGCTGGATTAGCTAATCCCTTCAAGAGGGATCTTCTGCTCTCAGATTCTAATCAGAGCTTAAAGCTTCAAGAGACCTCAAAATATCATCCAGTTCCTCATCTTGAAGGACATAAGGTATTATTAACCCTACATTATAGATGAAGAAGCTGAGGCTGAATGGTGACTTGCACAAAACTCCACCACTAGTTAAGAGATGACAACAGTCTACAGCTCCTCAGAGAGCAAGGATCTGAACTATCCATTGTACGTTCTCTCCTAACCAAATTTACTCAGACACTACTCTTATTTCCCATGAAAGCCTCACTGGGGAAAATGTATTTCAAATTAAGCCAATGATGTTGTGTTTCATGTAGGCATATGTGATAACTGCCCTGGAAATGGAATCAACATACATGTCTACTTGCAATATGGGTGATGGATATCAAGGAATATATATATAACCCAAGTGCGTCCAATTTTACTTTCTTTCCTCCATCCCTTGCTGAATCCAGGAACATGTCTTTCACTGGGAGCAGAGATTTTCCAGTTCTTTCTTCTCATTTCATTGTTACATACTTACCAACATACTATTACTGCATTGCAACATTGTCATGAAATGTACCTGATTTCCAGTATCTCCTATTTCTGATTGCTAAATTTTCTATATTGACTCTTGTTTGGGGTCATAAGACACACACAAACCTCAGTTTATCTAAGAAATACAATACAAAGAAAAGGCAAACTTGAGAAGGGTGTTTTTTTACCTTATTTCCTGAATCTTTTCTATGTCAGTGGTGATCTCCGTGAGATTCTCAATCAGAGTCAGGTTGTCCTTCAGCCAGGTTATCTTGGGAGGGGGATAGGCCTGCACATCCACCACAAAATGCTTGACTTCATGCAGGTTGACAGCTTCCAACAGGTTAAAGTTGGGTTTGATTTCAATAAATCCTTTCTCTGTACAGGGAAGAGTTTCCATTAAAGAATGATCACCTCATGGTGGATCCCGAGCACCATGGTCGATGGGCATTTAGGAAGCAGAGTATACCGTGAACAGAAATGGTGACGTTCCTCATCTTTTTGACTTCCTTGGTGGCCTGGTGGGCAGCACATTGGTAATCTCCACTGTCTTTCACTGTGGCCTCCGGAACCCTCAGAGTGTACACCAACTTGATGGACGGGAACTTGGTTTCCTCCAGCCTCGTGATGCCTTTGCCTTTCTACAGTAGAAGGGGAGGAAAGCTGGCTTTAACAAGCTGTCTCCCAAGAGTGAACCCCTGTGTAAGTCATGGACTCGGTGATAATGATGCACCAATGCGGGTTCCTGGATTCTAACAAGTGTACCGCTCTGCGGGGATATAGATGGGGGCGGGAGGAGGGGGGCTGTTCCTGTGTTGAGCCCAGAAGACAATACAGAAAATCTCTGTACTTTTTACTCAGTTTTGCTGTGAATTCAAAGCTGCTCTAAAGGGACTTCCCGGTGGTCCAGTGGCTAAGACTCCCTGCTTCCAATGCAGGGACCTGGGTTCAATCCTTGGTCAGGGAACTAGATCCCACATGCTACAACTAAAAATTCCACATGCCACAACAAAGATCAAAAATCCCATGTGCCACAACTAAGACCCAGCAACCAAATGAATATTTTTTTAAACCAGTCTAAAAAATAAAGTCTAATAAAAAATATTTTTAGCCATGTTCCTTTGAAAATCCAGTTTTGAAAGGATATTTAATGACACAGTAAGGTGTTTGTGCTATACTGCCACAAGAAAAAATATATAACAAAGCACTATTCAAAGTATATCTATTAATTATTACATTTATGAAGTATTTAAAGGACTTATCTCCTTTAAATTATAATGGGGGTGGTTCTGGGAAGTGGCTTTTCATCTGTTTCTCTAAATTTTTAACTTATAATAAGCCTGCATTTTTTCAAAAAATATCAAACAAAAACTATGATTTATAAACCAATACTTAGAGTATATATTTGGGGGCCAAACAGCACATAGTTTTGTTTTGAGGAGGAAAAATTATCTCCAATAAATGAAAAGAAGCATTTATGTTTTAAGGATTAAAGGCATCAAATATGGGCTTCCTTGGTGGCCCAGTGGTTAGGAATCCACCTGCCAGACCTGCCTGGTGATACCGTGGATGAGAATCTGCAGGCCAAATCAGGGACACAGGTCTGATCCCTGGTCCAGGAAGATTCCACGTGCCATGGAGCAACTAAGGCCATGTGCCACACTGCTGAGCCCAGGCCCTGCAGGCCATGCACTGCAACTGCTGAAGCCCTCCAGCCTTAGAGCCTGTGCTCGGAAACAAAAGACACCACAATGAAAAGCCCGTACGCTGCAACAAAGAGTAGCCCCTACTTGCAGCAACTAGAGAAAGCCTGTGCAAAGTAACAAAGACCCAGCACGGCCATAAATACAAAAATAATTTAAAAAAAAAAAGAATCCACCTGTAATGCAGGGGACATGGGTTTGATCCCTGGTCAGGGAAGACTCCACATGCCACAGGGCAACTAAGACCACAAGCTGCAGCTACTGCAGCCCTGGAGCCTAGAGCCCATGCTCCAAACAGGAGAAGCCGCTGCAATGAGAAGCCCTCACAATGCAACCAAGAGAAGCCCCTGCTCTCCCCAGTTAGAGAAAGCTTGAGGGCAGCAAGAAAGACAAAGAAGTCATGAATAAACAAATAAATGAAACTTAAAAAAAATTTTTTTCTATAAAAAATAAAGGCAATCAAGTATGAACAGAAAAATAAGATAGTTTTACATTTGGGGGAAGATGTATACCTATTGGTCTACGAATGTCTCTTCAGTACATGAGGTTATAGGGCAGTATGTGAAAATGTCCACGTTTCAATCAGACACCCCAGGGAAAAAGGAAAGGGGCAGCCAAAACATGGGAAGAGAAATGGAAAAAAGGAGAGCTACTATCAGACGCCAAAGAGAGAGCACGGAGCAGGAACTAGGAGTGAAGGGGGAAAGACCATATATATATACATATATGTGGTTTTTGCTCTCCATAAGGGCACTGCATCAAACACTGTTAAAAGGTTTCTGCGTGGGACCATCATAGCCTTTTACACACAGTTCATACACACTTACCATGATGGGGTAGAATGAATGAGAACTGGACTTAACACACACACACCAATACATATAAAATAGGAAAACAACAAGGACCTACTATATAGCACAGGGAACTATACTCAATATTTTGTGATAATCTATAATGAAAAGAATCTGAAAAAGAATATATATATTTTATATATATATTTATATAACTGAATTACTTTGCTGTACATCTGAAACTAACACAACTTTGTAAATTAACTATACTTCAATAAAATAAAAAAATAATGACTGATACCCTATGTGTAAATTCCCAAGGACCAGAGATGACGCAGTGGCTCCCCTCTCCCATCTCCACTCCTCCCTTCTTCTTCTTTCTGTGGATGGGCCAGCTTCCACCAGAGTGCTTGGGATTCAGCAAACATCACTAAATCTCTATTTTTTTTTTAATTTTTTATTGTAGTGGTTTTTGCCCTACATCGACATGAATCAGCCATGGATTCACATGTGTTCCCCATCCCTATCCCCCCTCCCACCTCCCTCCCCACCCCATCCCTCTGGGTCTTCCCAGTGCACCAGGCCCGAGCACTTGTCTCATGCATCCAACCTGGGCTGGAGATCTGTTTCACCCTTGATAGTATACTTGTTTCAATGCTGTTCTCTCTGAACATCCCACCCTCACCTTCTCTCACAGAGTCTAAAAGTCTGTTCTGTACATCTGTGTCTCTTTTCCTGTTTTGCATATAGGGTTATCGTTACCATCTTTTTATACATACACATCCATATATATGTGTTAGTATACTGTAATGGTCTTTATCTTTCTGGCTTACTTCACTCTGTATAATGGGCTCCAGTTTCATCCATCTCATTAGAACTGATTCAAATGAATTCTTTTTAATGGCTGAGTAATATTCCATTGTGTATATGTACCATAGCTTCCTCATCCATTCGTCTGCTGATGGGCATCTAGGTTGCTTCCATGTCCTGGTTATTATAAACAGTGCTGCGATGAACATTGGGGTGCACATGTCTCTTTCAGATCTGGTTTCCTCGGTGTGTATGCCCAGGAGTGGGATTGCTGGGTCATATGTCAGGTCTATTTACACTAAATCTCTATTGAATGATTCAAATTATGCCTGTTCACTGAAGGAAAGTTATGCATAGAAAGACCAGGCAGGGAATTCCCAGGCGGTCCAGTGGTTAGGACTCTGTGCTTCCATTTCGAGGGGTGATCCCCTAGTGCGGCTGCAAGGTATAGCCAAAATAAAAAAATAAATGAATTTGTTTATAAAGTAATTTCCCTGCTGGTCCAGTGGCTAAGACTCTGTGCTCCCAATGCAGGGGGCCCAGGTTGGATCCTGGTCAGGGAACTAGATCCCACATGCTGCAACTAAGAATTTGCATGCCATAACTAAAAGATTAAGACCTGGCTCATACTAAAACAAAGGCAAGACCAGGCAGGCAAGAAGCAGAGTATCATGGGTGTCCACACGGCAGGGAAGCAGGCAAGTAGCATTATCCAATGCCTCAAAACTCAAAGGCATGGAAGCCAAGAAAAGAAGTCATGACTTTCAGCAATCAGGAAGTTTTAAAATTCATTTGTGTTTTGCTTTGCTAATTTTTTGGTTATTATCTTGTAGCCATATAACCTGTCTATCTGATGAAAAAGAAAAACCTCTATGCATTATGAGGGGCCTGGTTCAGCTATCATCATCTCAGACTCTCCCACTGCTCTAAGAGCCACGGCGTCCTCTCATCAGAGTCTGTATCAGAGACGGAAAGCTAAGGTCAAGAGGAGGCCAGTGTCATGCCCCATGAGTGATAGGTCTTTGAGGCCCTACTGTGATCCACTCCCTGCCACCAGGGGCCTTGAGGGTACTTACCATTTGTCCAGGGTAAGTCCACTGAAAGTCAACCACCTCGTTGTTAAAGACGGTACAGGTGACCACAATCGATTCGCCTGCCTTATATACAGTCTTAGGAGATTCCATTTCCAGATCAAGTTTTGATGTTGCTATTTAAAAAAAGAACAAACACAGGACCTAAATGTCCAAAGTATAGTCAGGATCTTACAAGGTTTTAATTTTTCAAGAAGATTCTGAAAAATAATTTGCAAACAACTTTGATCAAGACAAAATTTTGAAAATCTCAGAAGCCTTGATCTGCATTGACATACATAATTTGGTATAAAGTTAAACACATACACATATATACATATACACACATGCAAAACAATAACAATAATAAATTCCAATTCGCCAGAAGACCACATTCGCATCCCCAAGCATTTGGGTGCATTATGACTACAACCACTTTTATTGACAGAGCAAGTCTTTACTGACTTCACTTTCCTAGCCACTAGCTCCTATCCCATCATTTATTTATTCTCCTCTTCTCTCCCATTCTGCTCCCCAGTTATTCTCAGCATTTCTAGAACCTAGCATGGAGTCTGGCATAAAATAAGCCCTTCACAAGAGTTAAATGGCATACTCTCGCTAATACCATACCTGCATGTAAGTGCTCTATAAATGTGTTGGCCCAAGCGCGGTTTATACATTCCCATTTGCATTAACCACTCACATCAAAGGGATGAAGTCGACAGCTACCAGCTTTTCTCAAAACCACTTTTCCGAAGTTATTAAAATTAACCTAGAAGTCCAACCCCCACAGGTGTGTGTTTGTAGTTAAGGCCTTTGTAGTCAGGAATGTGACTAAAGCAGTAAGAGGCTTATGCAAGAAAAAAAAATTCCTTACAGTATACTGAAGTTAACTGATGAAACCTGAGATAGTACAGGGTAGGAAAGACTTTGCCTTTGGTAATGCCAAGCTTCACAGCATTACAGCCACGGAGATCAGCTTAACACTATAGGTTCAAGGTGGGGTTAACCTACCTTTCGGAGGCTAATGCCAAGTCCCCATATCAGAATTTGGGGGCTCCATCACTAGGGACTAGGATTTTAAAAAGAAAATTCTACATGCATCTGATGACTTTGCCTGTTCCTCTTATTCAGAGAAGGTAAGAGAGGGCACAGTACCTGTATAAGCATAAACATTGAATGGAATGGTCTGGAACTTCTTCCCTCTGACCGTGGCCTCACAGATATAGAGCCCGACAGCGAAGGTTCCTTTAAAGCCTTGTCTGCTATCATAGGAGGCGTGCACTACCCCCTCACTGCTGAGTAAGGTCACTGGAGTCTCAGGATCAGTCGTGCGGCATGGGATGATGACGGAATCTTCGTCCTCCACGATGACCAAGGAATCTGTCATTCCTAGAGGTACGAAGGCTACATCTGGGTCTGACATTTGGGGAAAAAAATGGAAAACACATTAAGGACTAATTTCACCTTCACACATATATGGAGAAAGATTACTTCTTTGGCATTAGTCATATCAGGTATGAATTTTACCTTTACTTATAAATCCAGAAGTGTCACCCCACTGACATTTGTCATCCTAACAGCTAGAAGGTGATTTTTTTAAAGTATGAACATACCAAATTGCCCGTGCCTTCTTAAAAAATACTGAAAACAAATATAAATATTGTCAGAAATGGAGGTCAAAATTTAAACTACAAAACACAAAACAAAATGGACATTAAAATAATCAAGCCTGAAAAAAAAATCATCAGGTATGCTCAAAACATGAGAAAAGACTCATAATTAACAAACCCACTTTCCTACCACTGTCTTCAAAGCACGGAAGCACTTATGTGAGAATGACAATGGGTGACAAACGAAATATCTACCCCTTTTGAAACAATTTTTTTTTTCAATTGCTAGGAAAGAAAGTTGATACAGATGAGAATGTCAGAATAGAAGTGAAGAGGGTTTAGATCCATAGTTACAGAAGACAGAGAAAGGTGCCAATTTTAAACTTTTTTTTTTTACTGTTCCATGCAGATAAGGGATTTAGTTCCCTGACCAAGGATCAAACCCAGGCCCCCAGAAGTGGAAGCTCGCAGTATTAACCAATAGACCTCCAGGAAAGTCCCAAGGAGCCAATTTTAAAAACTTGAAAAAGCAGAAAGGTAGGAAGATATACTTCTGAAACTCCCTCACTCAATGTCTGCTAAAACAACACAGATGGCAAGAGCTATAAATGGTTTATATGCTTGTTGATTGAAGCCAAGTACTCTAGTTGTGGGGATGGATTCCCAGGTGACTCAGAGGTAAAGAGTCCGCCTGCCAATGCAGGAGGTGTGAATTCGATCCTTGGGTCGGTAAGATCCCCTGGAGAAGGAAATGGCAACGCACTCCAATATTCTTTCCTGGAAAATCCCATGGATAGAGCCTGGTGGGCTACCGTCCGTAAGGGTGCAAAAGAGACACAACTTAGTGATTAAATAAGATAAGACCAAAATTCTAATTGTATTCCCCTTTAATTCAACCATCTATATACTAAAATTGCCATGACTTGAATTTGCTTTTAGAGTTCCAAATTCCTGAACTCTATTAGCAAAGATTCCAAGAAACAAAGGCACAAAATAACTTCAGGTTAAAATATGCAGTTTGATCTATAACACATCAGCCAGAGTTTCCTTTAAAGTTCAAGTCTTCCCTACCATCAAGTACTACTTACACAATGCAAGATCCAGGTTCTATCCCTGGGTTGGGAAGATCCTGTGGAGAAGGGAATGGCAACCCACTCCAGTATTCTTGCCTGGAGAATTCCAAGGACAGAGGAGCCTGGCAGGCTACAGTCCAGGGGGTTGCAAAGAGTCGGACTGAGCGACTTTCACTTTTCACAGATATAGACACAGGTACAGAGATAAACATAGATCATTACCAAGGAATGCCCAGAGACTGCTAGGTGGGTGGTAAACCAAAGGCATCTCAAGCTCATGGCTAAGTCTAGTTGATTAGGGTGGCCGCTGCCAGAAAGCACCACACATTCTGCCTGACTCTGGAATTCATCCCAACCTTGAGCCGTGCCCTCCAGAGATGTTTCCAGACAAAGACTGTGTGGAACTGGGTCTCCTTAGACTGGAGGACTCCCAGACCTTTACACAGAGGTCTAGGACTCCTCTACCCCACCTTCCTTCCCTCTCTCCTTCTTTCAGGGTCACACTTGCACTGCCGGCAGACAACTCTCCCAGCCTCTGCGGGATCCCTCATTTTCTCTCATAACCAGTGAAGCAGTGAAGTTGCTCAGTCGTGTCCAACTCTTTGCAGCCCCATGGACTGTAGCCTACTAGGTCACTGTAGGCACTAGAGTGCCATTTCCTTCTCCAGGGGATCTTCCCGACTCAGGGATCGAACCCAGGTCTCCCACACTTTACCCCACCAGGGACGCCCTTCTCTCACAAGCCTCTCCTTTAATATAACCCTTGCATATTTAACTCCACCTTACTCCTATGCTGGCATTCGCTTCTTAGAGGACAAAACACAACATCGACCAAAATTTTTATTAGAAAGAAAAAAACCCATTCCAACTCATCAAGGTTAAATACAGGCACACTTAGTTTACTGCACTTTGCTATACTGGGCTTCACAGATACTGGATTTTTCACAAATTGAAATTTTGTGAACGCTGCATCAAGAAAATCTATTGGTGCCATTTTTCCAACAGCATTTGCTCACTCTGTGTCAAATATGGGTAAATCTTGTAATACCGCAAATGTTTTCACTATCATCACATTTGTTACAGTGATCTGTGATTGGTGATTTCTGATGCTACTACTGTAAAAAGATTACAACTCACTGAAGGCTCAGATGATGGTTAGTATTTTTAGCAATAAAATATTTTAAAATTAAGGTATGTACATTGCTTTTTAAGACATAATGCTATTGCACATTAACAGGCTACAATGTGGAACTTCTCTGGTGGCCCAGTGGTTAAGTTTCTATGCTCCCAATCCAGAAGGCACAGGTTTGATCCCTTGGCCAGGGAACTAAGATCTGGCATGTCATAAGGCATGGCCAAAAAAAAAAAAAAAGGCTACAGAAGTGTAAACATCCAATGCACTAGAAAACCAAAAATAAAAATATAAATTTTTATGACTCAATTTATTGCAATATTCACTTTATGTTGGGAGTGGGGACCAAACCCACAATCTCTCCAAGGCATGCCTATATATGTTTTCTTGAATTTGAAAAATATCAGTTATTTGGAAGCCATTATAATGAACTATAAGCCACTCCAAGATAAGGCCTATCTAACTAATTTTTGTGTCCCCAACACTTAGCAGTGCCTGATACCCAGTCCATGCAAGTAAGTATTTGCTAACTTGATCAAACTGAATAGAAATGAGTACATTTCAGATTTTCCTCACAATGCCAATAAAAGATGCCACAATGAAATGGTTTTCAAAACACTACAGTTCTAAAATGTTAACAGTGAATATTTCTGGGTGATGACATGACAAATGATATTGATTTAAGCTTGTGTGTTTGTAGTTTTCAATTCTCTGATAAATATTTATAATTTTTATACTTCTAAAAACTTTCATACAATTAACAGGCAAGCCAGGACAAGCCTGTCCAGGGGGACCCAGGCAGCTCACCGGGCACGTAGATGTAAATGTGTCTGCCCTCGATCTCGTTCTCATCCATCTGCGTGTGGTTGTAATAGCAAGTGTACGGCCCAGTGTGGGCCGCCGAGGCGCTGACCACTTCCAGTACCGTCACAAAAAGGCCACTGTTGTTCTCCTCGTTTCTGATTTCCACATCGGGGTACTCTTCTTCAGACATGGGGTACTGCCAGCTCACTTCACTCTCCCCAAAGCATCTCAGAGAAAAGGATGAATTCAGCTGCACAACCCTCTCATTTTCATTGGGCAGGATGGAGGGTAATGAAAGCTGGCAGAGGATTAGGCTCGGCCCTGTAAAAGGAAACACGCTCTGAATAGGATGCGGCCCGAAAGGACGGTCTCACCCAGAGCAGCTTCTATGAACAATGACCATTTCTACGCAAAAATTCGTTAGCCTGGATGCCCATGAAAGGCCCCCCATTATGAACAGCACCGCATCTGCTGAGAGCAGCAAACGCTCCAAAGGCCTCAATAGCCCTGTCCAGCCCCCTCCAAACACTCCAGTGGACGGAGGACTTCTCACTCCTGTTCCACATCTTAGACTCTTATGTGTGACCATGAAATAGCACAAGATGGCATAAGCTCAAGCTCATATGGGCTCTTTACTGTCTGCGTTCCCTATGGACAGAGAAACGGGCTGAACGAAGCACAAGGCAGATTTGTGCTCAAGAAGTGCGCATCTTCCGTTTCTCACAATACTCTGGCGTGCCTCCTCTCTAATGATTTCCAGAAACCAAAGTAGGAGGGTATGGATTTCAATTCAAAAAGAATAAGTCAAGCCCAAGAGTGAAAACTCTTGGGTTCATCTTAGAACCTAAAATGTCAGTTCAGCTTCCCGTCTATAAAACTGGTAGAAGAGATATTATGACTAAATTATGCACTCAAGATATCTAATCTCCCTCTAAGCCTGGTGCGGGAATTCACCCAACTTCAGTATGTGTCCACTCTGACTGGTCAGCTTGTTAAGCGGGACGTGTAAAGTGCACCCGAGTCCCTATTGTCCTGAAGGTGAGGAATACAGAGTGGGCTTCAGAACTCCTAAATCACTGATCATGCTCAAGTTGCCATATCCATCCAGGTGAGACCTAAAGAGACTCATAGCCTTAAGTTAACTCCTCAGACTAGAAAAACACTGGTGTCATGGTGAACATCTGCAATTCATGATTATCTGGATGAAAACGAAGAAAGTCCAATAAATATTTCAACACATGGCCCCGCTGGCATCCTCCTGGTGGAAAAGTTAGTAAGCTTCCCCAAGCGTGAGACAGTGAGTAATTCAGTTTCAAGGCCAAAGGTGACTCTAAGATTTTGCAGCAATTAAAGCATCTTCCATTTAAGACAGGTATAATTTCCTGGATGAAAATTTCCTCTATTTGTTTCCTTTGGGCATTCTCAAATTTATTTCTCTGACCCACCTCTCCTGGAAACCCATGACCCAGGAAATGGAAGAGAGTGGCAGACAAATTTAAACTGTTATTCCTAACAGCATGTCAACACCATGATGACGTACATACTAAAATTGCCACCCGAGAACATTCTTTTTGGCATTAGAGCAATCCAGCGAGGGGAACTGACTGTGTGCAGTCATTCTAGAGAGCATCTTGCTCCTCTTTACTCTTCTGGACTGTTTGCAGGAATATAGGCAATACACCCCCAGAGCACAGAACTTAGGGGGAAAAGAAAGATTTCCCCAACGACAACAAACTCAGAGAGGCTTGAGATCCATACCTGTGAAGAGACAGCCTAAAGCCAGGAGTGCCCAATGGGAAGTCCCCATAGTTCTGGAAAACTGAAAAAGTCAAAAGCCAAACAGAAACAATGTTAGTCAATAAAACAACTAGTCATGAGCCTACTTCTCTTTGTGCTTTGTGCTATGGAAAATGTTAACGACATCATTTCAGTCAACAACATCCTGGTTTAAGTAAGATTCACAGTTAAAACAGTAAAATGCCTAAGACACAGGAATTAGATAGCCTTGTGTGGGCCCAAGACCATGACAGGAGCCAGCTGAAGCCGAAACCCTTTTTGATTGCCTGCAGCTTTCAAATTCCAAAACGTCTCGCTTTATTGTCTTGGAATATGTCCAAAAGTACAGAAGAACGGTTCCTCTTAAACCATTTAAATTGATTGCGAAAAACAAATAAACATGTGTATTTACTCAACTCCTAAACTTGAGCTGTTTTCACTCAAAATGGGTTGTCATTTGCTTTGGGCTTTGCTAACAAAGTACGCGGTTACATCCCCAGCAACCTTTGGAAAAGATGCTTGGACTGCCAACGGATGTCTTAATACTTGAGAGCCATTCTGGGTAGCGGGTTCCAGAAGCTGCATCGCCCAGTGTCCCTCAGAGGGTATCATGCGCAGATCTGCAGGCTCAGGCCTGGGGCCCCAGCCCAAGCCCTCCCAGGACCTGCTACACTTACAGGCAGGCCAAACAGGGCGCAGAAAGCCCGGGGCCCAGGCGTGGAAGGCGAAGAGTAAAGGAAGGGAAGAAGTGAGAGGAAGTGAGAGAGAAAAGTATGGCTAAACTCCTGTTTCAGGGATACAGTGAAGCCCAGGATAAAATTCGATGGACGATTCATTTTCACACAGGTCCCTGTACCTTCAGAAAGCAAGTTCTCCACTCCGATCTCCTGCCGCGAATTCTGGGCAACAGAAGGGCAGTGCAGAGAGAGACTGAAACCCAATGTCGCTGAGACACAAACAGGGAAAAGCAGCCGGCGAGCAAGAGACGGTAAGGGAAAGTAACGGGGGAAACGAAGAGGGACCCGAGCTGCCCGGAGGTAAAACCATGGAAGAGTCTATTCCGCTCCACCTTCTGAAATGGCCCCTTTATCCTTTTCTTTCTACGTATGCCTCACACATTTGTCATCTCCCCCTTCACTTCCCACACAAAGGAACTGAGAAAATGATCTTCCTGAGGTCGACCCGAAGGAGCTTGCAGGGGTTGGGGCCATTGAGCACCCAAGTTTCAGATCAAGAAGCTCCACTGAGAGTCGTGGGCAGTGGCACAAGCTGCAAGATGATCCTTAAAAAATCACCCAAGCCAGGGCTTGGGATACACTGGGTCCCTGAGTTGCTCAAAACCCCAATTCACACAATGGAACGAGTTCATGGCACTTAATTTGTTCTATAATTGACTTTGGAAACTAAGATGTGTGTGCATGATTCCTGAGTAAACTGTCTAAAAGAACAGAAGAAAACAGTCAATGTTGCCTGTGTTTAGCCCTTGTTTCCTCCTTCATTTTTTTGTTTTTTGGTTGCAGAGGATCCAGTAGATAACAACCTAGTAGTTTTTGGTAGAGCCTGATCTTTTATTTTCGCTTGAAACTGGCAACTGGTCTACCTGCAGACATCAGCTTTCTGCCTCATTAAAGTCTACCAGTTAAATGGAAGAGGAAGAAAAGGAAAAGATGGAATGCTGATAATGGGGAGGGAGGCGTTAGGAAAAAAATGATGATAATTCTGATTTCTCCAAAGCAGAACAAGAAACCAGTATTTGCTCAAAGTGGTCATGTGTATGCCATGCTTGTTAATAATAATCCTTTGAAATATCTGATGTTTTAAGTGCCACTTGAGGCTCAGAGAAGCTCAGCAAATGACCCAATATCACACAGCTGGTAGTAAAGCCAGGATTCTAACACCAAGTCTGTGTAATGCAAAAACCACGCTCTCTCCAAGCCACCATATGGTCTCTCTCAAGGGAAGGTCAGTGTTTCAGCCTGTGGACTCCCCAACTACTTCCTCATGCAAATTGGGGCCCTGCTTTCCTCTTCTGCTCACTGCCACAGCGAGAGCAATCTGCACAATGCTGGCTGGATGACGGCCTCCGAGGATCCTGGCATGTGCCAGGGATTCAGGGTTTCCTCACTGCTGCAATGACGGGCACAGGGTCCCCAGAGCCAGGCTGGCCAACCTGATTTCCCACATGGCCTGCGTGTTTGTACATATAAATATCAGCCTCCCACTGATAATCCACTTAGCGAACTTCAAAGGAGCCCTCCACAGCCAGCTTGATGCCTTGGGTTTTATCACATTTACATCCTGCAATCCTCTAGTGGGCCTTGCCAATGATGCACTCTTAAAGCATTCCCAAGCTTGACAGAGGGGCTCGCTGCTTTTACAGGCCAGGCTCTGAAGGGCATTTTGCTCTGGCCAGGCCCACCAGACTTCCTTCTGTGCATCCAGATATGGGGGACCCGATGCCAGAGAGGCTTACTTACTGACATACAAGTGGGCAATGAAAACAGGACCTCCGAGCAAGCGATAATGGTGCAAACACTGAAAATCAACATGGGTTTGCTCACCATTTCAAACTCCCATCTCTGATAAGAGTGGTTCCCTGGCTAGAAACCCAGGCGTAGTTGTGAAGTTTCATGTCATTACTCATCTGTGACTCAGACAACTTACTCGTGAATAATTGCAGACTGAGTCCTACAGGGAGGTGATGGAAAACACCTGGGAAGAACGCAGCTTTCCCGCCTCTTGGCCCTGGAGTAAGAATCTCTAGGAGCGGTGTTGCTATTTCCACTGCTTTTTTACTCTGGGAATAAATGCTCCTCCTGAATCAATAACCCCTATCCCAACGCTCATCCAAAAGTCAGACGTGCAAATATAATTGGGTTGCAGATTCAGAGAAACATGGCATGTTATGAATCAGCAAGAATAAATCACTTTGCAAGGTGGAATGATGGATTTCACTCCAAAAAATTTAATCATAATCATTTCTCTCATGCCAACTGTATGTTGGACTTCAGTCACAATCCTCTATAATCACAGCTCATCACCACTGGTTAGAGAAACAATCAGAGAAAAAAGATCTCTGCTGTATTCACGCTCAGGCAAGTAAGTGTGGCCTCCCCTTCCACCCTTCATTCTCATTCGTTTCTCCTCTCAATAGATGCTATGATAGAAATGGTACTGGACTAGGCTTTGATCCCACATCTGACACCTAGTCTACGCCTCTGAAGCTCAGACTCTCCCTGTAAATCAGCACAAAGAATACCTGACTTGCTGGCTTGCCTTTATGCATTAGACTAAATTCCACACAGTTTAATTCAAAGGGCTTCAGAAACTGCAGCTGTTGGTTTTCATGCAGCCTCTTTTTCTAAAGGTTCCAAAGATGTCTTAGACAAGAGGGACATCCGAGTGGCTACTTCAACGTCTATTTACTGAGAGAGTCAGCAGCTGCACCACCTGTGTTAGTGGAGAACTGGGTCTGAACTCCGCTACAGGGAAGCCTGATAAAGCTATCAAGTCTGTTCCTAGCTGAACCAATATATATACAGTCATGTAAACAGAGAAAAAAATCTGTTTGCAGCCACTATTCTTTCTCTTTAACACACTGCCATGCCCGTCCCTGCAAACAGAAGCGAAAAGCCATTAACTATGACTCTACAATCAAAACCAACACGCTAAGCTAGAGAGCAAACAGACGGCAAGCAACCCAGGGGCACCATTCCCAGAAGAGAGAGCAGGGCACGCTCCTCACAAAGCCAGAGTAGGCTTCCGGATCACCAACTGCTCAGAGCCGCTGCATATTGAATTTCACCCCACCCTGGCATGATTAGAGGCCACTGAAGACTCTCTCACAGTCGCAGAAGCCACTGATGCCTTCAAGATTCAGCTTTCTGAGGTTCAGTTAATTTCAGCTCTCCTTAGTTAATTCTAACTGTGAAAATGACATGTGCTGTTTTTCTTCCCTGTGACAAACATTCCTGTGACTTCAGTCCAGGCGGGCCAAATGCTGGTCCACCCTGGTGGCAACTTGAGTGAGGGAGTGTTTACTGGGATCTGCACCTCACCAGAACCTGTTCTGTTGTTTTTATCTTCTTGAGTTCCATTAGACATTCCAGTGCTGGGTGGGAGCGGCACTATTTTTACATGGGAACATTTTATGGGACAGTCTGAGCTCATAAACTTTTCTGCTCCCCTGTACCAGGGGAGACTAAAATGTCACTTCCTGTTGATTGTCACCAAACTGGTGTGACACCCAATGGGACAACCTTAGGTGCAGCAGCTTGTAGTACACTTGAGGCTCACCAAATCCCCAACACTATGGCTTCACTGTAAAAGAAAACTGCAAAAACTGGCCAATCTTCGCGGGTCTGCTCTGATAACCCGATGTGGTGGGCCAACACTTTGCTCATTACGTAAATACATAGGATTAACAACTGTGGCGAAAGACTACCCCCAAAGTCCATAAAATCAGGGTTGTCAGTCCAGTGATTCTTCTAGCTTCACAGAAAACGAAAACTTGGTCCTACCGGACCGAAAAATGCATCTTGCTGATGCCACGACTTGCTTAAAATCTCCGCGAAGCCGATGCCAGCAAAGGATAGTTGCAGTTCTCACATAAAACCAGCAGGTGGCAGTATTGGTCCAAGAGACAGGCAGTCCTCGGGGTTCGCGGGGACGCAGATGCTGCTACAAGTTCTGTGTTAACATGTCCCAAATCTTCCAATCTCCTACTTTATTGGGTTGCACGTTTAGGTTTCGTGGTGCCCTCTATTTAAAGCCGGTAGAATAGAAGCTGGGCAATTGCCCATGAAAAGGCTTAACGTTCCGCTGGGCCCCAAGAGAATTCGCATCATCACCAGCACCGTCAGCATCATCCCTGCCCGCGGGGTCGGCCGGGGCGACTGAGCTTCGGGAGCCAGGAAAATGGCGCTGCCATTCCAGGTCGCAAAGGTTTGGAAGGTTCAGCAGGAAAAGCCACTCGCGGGTAGCTCGAGTGGTCAGGGTTTTGTTTAGCCAATGTTCTCCCCATCTCGCAGTCTCCACCCGTTG